CGTAAAACTAGGAAAATAATGAATAATACGGGCGACTGTCGAGTTGCGTGAGGTTACTGCGATTAACGTAGTAAAAACTTGTACATAACAAATTAATTAAACCTCAAAACTGTTGGAAAGGGGTATGGGAAATTAGTTAAAGGCTCATTCTACATTCTTAGACTGCAAAAGTATACTAAATGCGTATCTTAGAATAATAAATTAATGATTAATGTGGCCAGTGTCCACTTACATTATGCGATCCTTGAACATCGGTTCAGATAATCATTAATAACTTATTAATTCGATCGCAAAGTTACCGAAAACTGGGTTGTGAATATTGCCTGAGGTCTGTTCTATGTTCTTCAGTTGCAAATAGTTATGAATTGTCCTTAAATATTGAGATACTTGTAAATTTTCTAACGTTAGTTGGGTTATGGAATTTGGCGGGAATTTACTATCTCTGTCTCACTCTATGGGCCTTCTGTCCTTGTCTATAACTTCATCGACCTCCTCGGTTATTCTGTATTCCTACTACCAGGAGCCGAAAAATCGCCTATTTCCACTGCCAAAGCTTCTGTTCTGAAAATTGTCTATCCTTGTCGCACGTTCGGCGTCCGTATAGCGCCCTCTCTGTCTAATACCTCTTCGGTCATCCTGTTATCCTAATACGTACCAGGGAATCATGAATCCGTTTTTAACGTAGGTGGCACGCATGATACCATCTCCGTCCTTATCGCACACATCGTCGCTCCTTGTCATACACATTACAGGCATTGGAGAGAAGATAACACTTGCTCAAATTGTTAATAACTACCTAATAACGAACAATTCGTGTTCCAAAGTGTTACATACAGATTGCCAGAGACCCATACTAGAATTTTATACAAGATAGAACCATGAATTGTCACGTAAAACTAGGAAAACAATGAATAATACGGGCGACTATCGAATTGCGTGAGGTTACTGCGATCAACGTAGTAAAAACTTATTCATAACAAGTTAATTGAACCTCAAAACTATTCGAAAGGGGTATGGGAAATTAGCTAGAGGTTCATTCTACATTCTTAGACTGCAAAAGTATACTAAATGTGCATCTTAGATTAATAAATTAATGAATAATGTGGCCAGTGTCCACTTACACTATGCGATCCTTGAACATCAGTTCCGATAATCATTAATAACTTATTAATTCGATGGCAAAGTTACCGAAAACTGGGTTGTGAATATTGCCTGGGGTCTGTTCTATGTTTTTCAGTTGCAAATAGTTATGAATTGTCCTTAAATATTGAGATACTTGTAAATTTTCTAACGTTAGTTGGGTTACGGAATTTGGCGGGAATTTACTATCTCTGTCTCACTCTATAGACCTTCTGTCCTTGTCTACAATTTCATCGACCTCCTCGGTTATTCTGTATTCCTACTACCAGGAGCCGAAAAATCGCCTATTTCCACTGCCAAAGCTTCTGGTCGGAATATTGTCTATCCTTGTCGCACATTCGGAGCTCGTATAACGCCCTCTCTGTCTAATACCTCTTCGGTCATCCTGTTATCCTAATACGTACCAGGGGATCATGAATCCGTTTTGAAAGTAGGTGGCACGTATAATACTATCTCCGTCCTTGTCGCACAGTTTATGCTCCTTGTCTTACGCATTACAGCTATTAGTAAATTAAATGCGTCTTCAAAAATTACTAATAATTAATTAATTCGTGGAAAAACCTGTTCAAAACCGTTGTCTGAATACTTATAGAGGTCTAATTTAGATTCTTTAATTACAAAAACACGTTAATTATGTCTGTAAAGGTAATAAATGAATAGATAAGGCAGGAAGTGTTCGCAGATAACACGTTATCGTAGGGCGTAGGGCAATAGTTTCGATAATAATTAATAACTACTTAATTATGAACGAAACCAACTACAAATGAGTATGCAAAGGTTGGTGAAGGTTTAATGTAACTTCTTCAATTGCCAATTTCTATAAATTATTAGCAGACAATCGATTATTTGTAAATATTCTAACGCTTGTTGAGGTTATTCTTGTCTAATAGCTCCTTCATCGTTCTGTAATCCTATTAGAAGTAGACGAAATTTCACAGGATTTTATAACTGAAGTTGGTTGAACAATGTAATATCAACTAGTCCAGATTGGCTGATATGTAACGAAGTTATCTCCGTCAAGAATTGTTAGTAATTCATGAATTATACACAGCATCATTATTAAAATTAGTTGTAAATATTGTTCAAAGTGTATGTTCTATTATGGAATTAAAAAAATATACAAATCCATGACAGAAAAGGGAAAAATTCTAGGAATATTACATGGAGTACTCTGAGAAATTATTAATGTCTAATGAGTTTTAAATGAAATATATTTAATTTATATAAACCATTATGATACATAGAGTCGTATAAATCGTTAAACTGTTGTTTTTTAGATCAATACATACATGTAAAATAATACACATTGTCTAATTGACAAAAAACGAACGCAAATTAAATGAATACCAGGCCCTGAACCCACCAGACTTTCGAACTTTCAATCATTTCGAACGGTCAACCATAGATATTTTTAGAACTCACGATTACATTCGCAAATAATCATGGTTTGGATTGCTGGCGAACGTGGACAAGTGGAACAGCTTGAATTCAGCGAGACACCGACTAAAAAAATCAGCGAGCCGAGAAGAGATACGCAAGAGGGACAGTATTCGAAGATTTTTACAATGTTTCTTCTCTTACACTTACACACTAAAGAGATAGGTAATCTTCTAAAATTTGTCTCATCTATTTTGTACCATTAATATCTAATCTTCGAACCTTTCCAATGTTAAACATACGATAATAAAGCATTGTCTCCAGAAATTGGTTTCCGTTTTCTAACGTTGCAATTACTATTTCCGAGTCCTCGGTTCCAATGTCATTTCGTAATTGCCATTCTTCTCTTCTTTTCCAAAGAACGATGTGCTCCTATTGACCTGTCGGACGACAGTAGATATACGGACGATATAATAATGGTGCAGTCCAAGCTGTATCAATATTAGTCTGAAAAATATGATAAAATGACGCATCCGGTACTCGAACAAACGATGGCACGTGACATCCACCGCGTTGTCTCAACAAATTATAGTTCCATTCGATGAACAAAAACCATTAACCATTATCTTATAATTACATAAATACAATTCGCTCTTTAGAAATCTAAAAAACATAAATATTTCTCCCGTCAATTATTAGAGAATGCAGAAAGTTTCGACCTAAAACTCACTGAAAATATTGTACGAAGTCTCGAACAATATTCTTCATCGAGAACGATAGAAAGTTTCTATTTAATTTCTGGAACGAATGTAATATCGAAGACAGACGACTTTAACATGCAAAACTACTACGTCATCAGTCAAGGACAACAGAACGGCCTTGTATGTAACTTACAGAGAGAGAGAGAGAGAGAGAGACATGCACGTTACGCGACGAGGAAAAGCGTCGGTAAAAAGTACTCGGACGAAAAATGCATCAGAAACATATATGTTCGATCGATACATTCCTTGATAATCGATAATGAAATCTGGCCGGGAAACAATGAAAAGTTTACGCGAGCCACTTTATCTTCTTGTAACGAGCCGCTTGTTTCGACTCGACGGACATCACAGACGCGGTAAATCGTCGTCGTGAACGATCGTAGGAGTCGGTGTAGATTCTTGATCACTCTTACTCTCAGAGATGTTCCACGTAAATCACTTTCCGCATTGTATCTTTACGTAACTACTCTTCAGAAATAACTAGTACGTGCTTTCTAGTTAAATGAAAGTTAATAAAGAGACACACAGTTTTTCGTCACGCGAGCCCGTAATTAGATGAAATTAGTGCGTTATTAATTTAACGAAGAGTTTTTAGTTCGATCTATAAAAGCGATCTTTCGTAGATCGAAGATGACGGAAATGAATTTACATGTTTCTTCGATTGTTTGACAATATACGGAGTTATTACAGTAGAAGATAAAATGCGTATAGCGTATAGTGTATAGATGTAAATGAAAACGGAGATAGATGACAGTATAATCCAGAGTCGTAAAATACCAAACAGGAAGCTGAAGAATGATCCGAGCCCGGATACGGGACCTAAAAAGAACCATGAAATTGCTCGGTAAATTGGCTGTACAATTTGTGTTCTGCCGAACCCAGTGATCACTTAAAAGAGGATCGACGCATGCGTTCGCATCCTGGACGACATACCAGCAGGTTCGCGAAGTGGAGGGAGGCTCGGGCACGTGTGAAACAGCTGTAGATTTAATCAGTGTACAGAGCAGGTACGAGACGTCGCATCAATCGGTGAGAACTCTGCTTGTCAGGAGTACTTGTTGTTATTTTCGTTCGAATACACGGTTTCTAACTGGACGTCGAAATCCGATCGAACCATCTATCGCCAGCGTATCCGTCGAGGAAAAGTGAAATTCGTACAAACGGGCTGGAATAAAAGAGAAAGCAAGTTTACAGAAGCAGAAACGTAGAGTGGTCACAACGTGTGTTTGATCATCCACACAAAAGTCGTGTGTGCCATTTTCAATACCTTTTTTTATTCTACAATCGCGAAGGAATACTTGTACATATAGTACAGTCTATTTGGTGAAACGAGTGAAACGCGGGTGGGTTATGCGTCGAGTACACGAAACCGGACAATCACGTGTTTAAATCGATCTCACGTGGCTGAAAGATCAGGTGACACCTTCTATTCGTCGAAAATCACTCGCTAATTGCTTCTTAGAAGATCCGTTAATTGCCCCGGCTCAGTTTAACCGACGGTGAATTGAAAGTACGTCGCGTGTTCGGTTAATGGGACTACGGCTCACATTGCGTAACAAGGATCCCTAGCTGGTGATCGACCGATCGAACGATTGATTCTTCTAAAAACAGATCATTACCTTTATCCGCTACTCTTTGTGGTTGTGTGATTTCAGAATTCTAAGTTTGGCACGATGTACTAGGAAAGAATATTTGAAACGCAAAAGGTTCATTTCCCGAAAGATGACAGGATTGAACTTTCAGAAGCTGTTGAAGAACAGAATCCCTGTTCTAAAATGGCTACCCCTCTATAGACCAAAAGACGCGCTCGGTGACCTGGTTGCCGGTTTGACAGTGGGCCTGACATTAATACCACAGGTACCATCGAAAAAATACAACCTATAGTCCAGAATTGCAATATAACAAGCCACAGTCCCGCGAAACGTGTTACTAGAAATGAAACAATCATACCCAGTGTCTGTGATATCACAGAGATCTGTTTCTATCCGACGTCCACTTTAATTCCAGGCGATCGCTTACGCCGGACTGGCAGGATTAACACCGCAATATGGGCTGTATAGCGCGTTCGCAGGCAGTTTCGTTTACATTGTTTTTGGAACCTGTCGAGAAGTCAATATTGGCCCGACCGCGTTGATTTCTCTGCTAACGTACACATACGCGAGGTAAGAGACCATCGAGAATCCAACACGTCGGTGGCTTTTTCACGTCCATGAGCGGTGAATGAGCGACTATAATGGTATACGGGGTTTCGGTTGTGTCCATTAATCGCGGGACCATTGCTGCGGGCAATATGCTTCAATGACGGCTGAAAGAACGTCCCTTGGCTGCGATTATCACGCTGTCGATCTGTGTAATTGAGAAATTCCTAAACGTAAAGCGAGCCAGTGTTATGTAAATTTGACAATCAAGAATATTAAAATATTATTCGTATCGTTATTCTTACTTTCGGTGCTATGTTTTACAGAGGTATTCCTGAATACGCGACTCTTCTGTGCTTCTTATCCGGATGCGTTACCATTATTCTCGGTGTACTACGACTAGGATTCCTGGTCGAATTTGTCTCGATCCCAGTCGTTTCCGGTTTCACGTCAGCAACCAGTCTCATCATCGCGTGCAGTCAAATCAAAAGTTTGCTCGGCTTGAGGATCCACGGGGAAAGTTTCGTGGAGATTTGGAGGGAATTGGTCAGCAACATTGGTCGCACGAGGATCCCTGACCTGATCTTGTCTTGCTGCTGCATTCTAGTTCTGCTGACCCTGAAGGTAATTCACCGTGTACATCCACGCAAGCAGAACTACTTCTTACAAAGAGACATGTAAAAAACAAAAACGGGGAAATTGATAGAGGAAGTCGTGTGAATAGAGAGAGAGAGAGAGAGAGAGAGTGGTTCGAGCGCGGTTTTTGTATTCACTTATCGTTCCAGAAACTGAAAGACGCCAAGGTCTCGAATCAGATATTAAAGAAATCTATCTGGTTCCTGGGAACCGGTCGTAATGCCATTGTCGTCGTCCTGTGCGCGGTGATCTCGTATATTTATGAAATTCGAGGCGGAGCACCGTTCATCCTTACAGGACACATTGATTCAGGATTACCGTCGATAGAACCGCCGCCATATTCTCGGATTTCTGGTAATCAGACCGAGACTTTCATGGACATATGCAAGAACTTAGGAACTGGTATTCTGATCGTTCCGTTGATATCGATCATTGGGAACGTTGCAATAGCCAAAGCTTTCTGTAAGTTTCACACCACCACTGGCAGTGATTGTGCGTACAACGAAAAAGCACCATTAAAAATAAGAAACTAATCGATTACTTAAGCACGCGGTCAAACACTGGATGCCACCCAAGAAATGCTTACATTGGGTTTGTGCAACATAGCAGGTTCGTTTTTCCATTCCATGCCGGTTACCGGTTCCTTTTCCAGAAGCGCTGTGAACAACGCATCCGGCGTGAGGACCCCTTTGGGCGGTGTGTACACAGGTAAAGTAAGCTTTCAGGATTACTAAAATAAAATAAATAAAAAACAAGTAATTGAACAAATTCGTCCGAATCCGTGTAGGTATTCTAGTCATTTTTGCTTTAAGTCTACTTACGCCGTACTTTTACTACATCCCAAGAGCGACGCTCAGCTCTGTGATAATTAGCGCTGTGATATTTATGGTCGAGGTGAAGATAATACGGCCGATCTGGAGATGCAGCAGTAAGTAATAAATTAAAAAATAAATCATTGTTAAAAATAAACAAATTGAAATAACGTTGATTCAATCGTTCCAGAACGCGATCTAATACCAACTTTCGCGACATTCTTCGCGTGTCTGTTCGCCGGAGTGGAGCTAGGAATTTTAATCGGAGTGATCATTGATCTGGCTATATTAATTTATTTCAACGCCAGGCCGACAATATATATCGAATACAGAAATGTAAATACATAACAATGATCGTACGAAGAAGACGTTTTTTAAAGATTGCTATTTTAAAAATGTGTTTATGCCCGTTGTTACAGACCCCTACGTTAACTTATATCCTCGTGCGACCCAGCGCCGGACTACTGTTCCCAGCGGTGAATTACCTCAGGATATATTTAATCGAGAACCTGGCTAATAATCAGCATAAGCTACTGAAAACCTTCAAAAACTCGAAAATCGTCGTGTTAGACTGCAAGCATATCGATAAAATTGATTTCACCGCGGCGCATGTACGCATCAATGTTCTCAATGTAGTACAGTCTGTCCTGGTATCTTACCTCTTCGAAACTTTCATCATTCTTCTGTACTACAAAATGCTCCTACATATAACTTCGTTGCGGAATGCATTCATAATTATAAATTTCATACGACGTTTCTTTATAGCAATCATTGTTATGGGCGATAAAATTTCTTCAAAAAATCGCTAGAAGACACAAGATCCAGGACAGACTGAACAAATTTCGTTTCGTTCTATTCGTTGAATTGTACTGTATGTATATATGATAACGTTTACAGGGCTTGAATACAGTGATAAGAGACTTCAAGGAGAAAAATCATAGGCTAATAATGCTGCGGCCGTCCAAAGAAATTCTGCAGAGCGTCCAATCTTTGTCAGAGGAAACGATAAAGGTGGCCAATACCGATTCGGAGCTCGTGGCGATTTTGAAAGAATTGAGTACAGGTAAACGAACTCTGGAGCTCACCGCTGAAATAATAGACATGACGAATGTAAAGAATCCTAGTCGCCCGAAGAACGAACATACGAGCACCAAACTCTGAAAACGATCCGAACGTTAGACGATTGAAAATTCATGAAATGAAATATTACTAAGCATGTATGTAAGACCATAATGAATGTGCGAAAAAATTCCTACAGATTTTCCATTTCCTTTTTTTTTTTCGCATTTTTCTCCCATTTGTTTTCTTCAATACATATCGAAAATCGAGTTATAGGACTATCAACGATATCGTATAAAATCGTAATGAACATTAACACGTATTTACGATGTATATATTATTGTATATGAAATATATGATAATTCGTACGTTCTTTTTTGTAACATTTTACGGATAATGATATAGATTCATAAGAAAATTACTTGCTTCTCCTCGTTTCCGATTTCAAAGAGACTCTATTGACGGGTGCAGTTTCTTAGTACGAATGAAGGAATAATACTGTGTGGTTATAAATGCATACCAGAATATGTCGAGGGGGATATACATATATACTATAAATATAATTATAATTAGTTGTATGTAACATCTACCAAGTTCGGCAAAGTTTACGTTTTATTTTGTAAAAACTTGTAAGTCCTCGAAAAATAAACTATATGGTATTTCTTAACAATATAAGTAATATGTAAACAAAAATAAATCGTTACGCTCGAATGTATAACCGTTATATAAAATGCTTTTGCCTCCAAATAAGTCGAAGAACGAGCAAAACAGAACAGAAAATTAAGCAAAGAAAATCATGTTTCGACATCGAGTCATGGAAATTAAACTCCTTTAGATTTATATGGATCGTAAAGACTTTTTAAATCACAATTGGATAACGATTAAATTTACGTGTATCACGCGAACTTTCTTCACTTTTGTTTTTTTTTTCGTTTTTTTTTTTTTTTTTTTTTTTTTTTTTTTTTTTTTTTTTTTTTTTTTTTTTTTGTACTATCTACTTTTTCTCTTAGAAGGAAACTGAAAATTTCCCCGTTTAACACGAACTAAATGTTAAATCGTTATTAATACTTTCGATCGTAGGAACTTAACAAATCTGCACTCCTGGGAATACCAAACGGTCCCCCGGGTTATTATTAAAAGGTACTTCTATAGAATCCAAGTAACGAGTAACACCGATTATCTAAGTTAGAATAATGACTGATATAAATATTCGAAAGAGAATCTAGAAAATAGATCTGCTACTTTTACACACTTGTTATACCATAGGAAAAAACGAGACGAGGCTATCCGCACGTAACTGGCAGTTACAATATTATAAAGTTCTTTTAAAGCTTCTCAACTTTGAAAACGTTTCTACCCTCTAATGATGCCAGACATCTATAAGTACGATGCACGTGAATGCGTGTGTACGTCTAAAGTAGATCAATTAAAAAACTTGTCTTTCACGATATTACTTGTACATAGATATAGAGGTAACGATGATAGAAACGGATATAAAATCGTAAGATGAACGTGCAACGACCTTTGTACCGTGCGATTGCAACGATTTAAATTGAAAACTATGAAATACATCGTACAATGTATTTAGTACTGTCGCCTCGTTACTCTGTCTCCTGTGCCTTCTATTGTTCCGTTGTTTTGCGTATGCTACGGCCTGTTATTACCCTTGGCGAGAGCTCCTTCGGCGACACATGATAAGCCGGGTTTTCATGAAACTGAGGAACGTACTGCCGCGCATTACCATGTGGCATGTAAGCCACGGGCTTCGTGTCTGAACGCAAAGACGAATTCTGAATAACATCCGACTTCTTGGAATAATTCACTCCGTAATACATGCATTCTTTCGGCGACACCATCGGCGGTATACACTCGGAATCGTTTCCCGATAAGTCGTCCCTTCTGTTGCCGGAGTTCTGATTGGTTTGAAACGCTGCACAAGTCTCCGGCATTCTTTGATAATTGGCAGTAGCTGAAACGCGCGGCGAATACTTCTGATTTAGTTGCATGTGCATATTTGACGGTACACTCCTTGCAACGGAATCCATCGTGACAGCGTACGAATACGGTACCATCGTCTGGCCATCTTGAGAACAGTTGTTTTGATAATCGTTTGCCAAGGGAGCCCGATACTGGCTAGTTTTTCCATGAACGTCCACCATAGTGTTATCTTTCGTCCGGGCGTTCGATCTACAACCTTGCATGTTTCCCATGTAATTGTCCAGCTTCACGGGGACAGAAAAGTTCGGATTACTCTCAAACTGTTGCATCTGCTGGAATTGTTTGTACGGATTGTTCTGCATGGACGTTGGTATAGAGCAGTTGATAGTGTCCGCCATGGTATTCGACGGCAACACTTGATTCGTAAAGGTGCTGCAGTTGGTGTACGGGGGATTTTGAAACAAAGGTGCTGGATACTGCACCAATGGGTTCCAGCCTTGCATGCATAACTGCGGCACGTAGAACAATGGATGCTGCATGTAGCCCGTTTGTTGGATACTATTGAAATCTGTGCCGCACAAGTGTCTGGAGTTTTGCATTTGCATGTTCAAAGAATGTGCTGGATTCATCATGTTTCCAAAGAGTACCATATCTGGAAGCGGTAAATTCCATTGATTATGCTGAGCAGCAATGGGATGATTGTGAAAACCCGGTGGCGGTAAGATTGAAGTTTGAGGATTATGCATGAGGGTGTTGGAAGATTCGCCTTGCATAATGTTCTGATGTTCCATGGTGTAGGAAGTGCTATTCGGCACTAATACGTTCTGAGAGACGATGGTACTGTCAGCCGGTTTTCTTGATACATTATTAGCGTTGTTGTATTGATTTAAATACATGCCAGATATGCTCTGATAAGGTAAACCACTGCTCATTGGAATAACTGAGTTGCAATTATTGTGTGGCGATACGTTTTCCGGAGGCACATGCGACGGCTGCTCTGGTTTCTGGTACGCTATATCCAGCAGATACAAGTCCCTTTCAGAATTCTGAACAGCGGTAGAAGTGTTAGTGTAATGAGTATTATTATTATCGAAATAACTTTTATTTTGTACACTATGGTGATTCTCTGTTTCTTGAGCATTGCCTATATTAGGTGTTAATTGTGAATCAGAGTAAAATGTATTTGTAGTGATACCGTGTGGCTGAACAATATTATCCTTGTACGATGACGGTGTAGAATCCATCATTGTATTAATTTCTTGAATATTATCAGAAAATTTAACTGATTTTGTCTCGGAATTACTAGTATTAGTCTTATTGCTATTATAATTATTAGTATGTTCTTGTTCAGTCTTTGTAAATTGTACTTCTGTTCCATTACAAGAATTTTGCAATATCTGTGATTCTTGCGATGTAAGAACAGATGTATTTATAGTAGCAGAGTCTTTGTTACTCGAACAAGAATTCAATGATTTTACAGACTGTACATTATTTACAATAGCTGAATCTGATGTATCAGTCTTATTAGTATTACTAGCACCATTGGTTGCCTTATGCGAAAATGCAGTTATTTTTGAGCCTTCAGCTTGACTCACTTTATAATCCTTTGTTGAATTATTCTCCGTGACACTTTTTTTGTAATCGTCCGGTTTTTCTTTCCCGTTCGTTTCTTTGATAGAAGATTGAACAGTGCCCGAAGTACGTCTATAAACATAAGAATCTTTCTTGAATTTTTGCACACACCCTTGATCCTCTTTTACATTTCTATCAACAGTAGTCTTTGTGTTAGATAAACTTTGATAATTTTTTCTACATGATACAGAACCTGATGTCTTCCCTAATGTTCTTTCACTCGTACTGCATTCTAAAACATTAAAATTTTTGGAATTTTTTCCTGATGTACTCTGAGTAAGTTGCGTATCGCTAGTTTGCTTACTTATTGCGGACTGCTGATTCTCATATTTCTTTTTTGTTACATTTTCAGTTGTATTAGGTACACCGATGCCATTATCAAAACCAGACGTACGATTAACAGAATTTTCTTCTTCTGGCTTAGCTGCATTCCTTAAATATCGTTGTTGCGGCTTTACTAATGGTTTGTTCCTATTATACTGTACATTATACGATTGAGTACGAATTACTTGAACTTTGTGACACTTTTTTGTCTCGTCTGCCTCGGTATTTTTTTTCTGAAGTTTGCTTTTTTCATCTAATCCGTCCATAGAGGATTTGTTTCTGTTAGCAGAATCATTAAGTGTAGAAAATTGTTGTTTATAAAACTGTTGCTCCTTCACTGGTGTCCCCTTTCCCGTAATTAATTGTCTATTGCATCCATTAACTTTACTACATTTATCATGAAATTTAAGAGCCGGCGATACAGACGTCTTTCTTGAGTCTACACCAGAGGTTGAAGTTTTATCATTGCTACATGAATTTAAAGAATCAACTTGATCTTTGGAACCCTGCTTAGAAATAGTACAAGACTCTTTTAAAGAACTTCCTGCAAGTAAAGAAACGTTTTCTTGTTACAATTGTAACTTAAGAATACTGTTGACTTAATTCAGAATCATTTAAATCTCACCTGCTTGTTTCCTGGTCTTCTGATCATTACACTTCTTAGTATTAATTTTGGTAGTTGTTTTTTGCATACCTTTCTTTAATTCTGATGTAGACTGTGTTTTAGACTTTGCATTATTATTATTGTTATCGTGGCATTGCTTAGAATTGATCTGATTACCTACATCAGGAACTGATTTTGTCGAGTCTGGGATATTACGACGAATGGTACCCCTAGTTGTAGAAATAATAAACTGTACAAATCATAACATATTGCTACTTAAATTAGTCTTTTACCTACCACTCATTATGAGATTCATTACATGACTCCTCTGATTTACTTTTTTCTTCTTCCTTAAAACTAAGCTGTTCTAACTGAACAGTAACAATATTCTCTTGCAAATTCTTGTTCACCATTTCTTGCTCATCTAGTCTTTGTACGACCAAAGACTGAGAATTTGGGAACAATGTACTAGTTACATTAACATCTTTACTCCAAATAGTTTCCATATTACTTTTCTCAGAAGGCTGAACAACTTGTAAAGTAGATTGAAGCGTATTATTAGTTGTAACAATATTACTGTTATTTATATTTTCCTTTGTAATATGATCATTATTCTTTAACTCAGGACTGTTTGAAGCATTGCTACTTGAAACAATAATAGTACATTCTTTTGTTCCTTCACTTAATTTAGCTTTCAATGGACTACTTATTAATTCTTTCCCATCTGGATACACTTTTGTGCTACAATACAAAGAAGATATATTCAAAACATTAAAAGACAATCTTATTTGCTTGTTACATTAGTGAATATTTTTCTTCGGACATAGAAGACTCTACCATGAAGTAACATACGTTATATTCTAACAATACAATTCTTGTATCCATGAGAGAATACATTGAAGCTGTAATGAACAGATTTGTACTTGACACTGATTTCATAAATTTTTCATTTATACATACAAATTAGTATACAATAAAAGGAATTAATACTAACATAATGAAAATAAAATAAACTAAAATATATAAAACAGATACAAACGTACTGGCCTGATAACTGAGAATTACTTTTCAGCCACTGCATATTATGCATCTTGCCGATTACGGCCATCTGCTCTATATAGTATTGCTCTTTTATATCTTTATCAGTGGAATCCATTTTACCTATTACAGACGTAGTTACAAGAACTAAGCACATTTGTTAACAGAACATAACAACTTAAAGTTAGCCTAAACAAAAAATAAATCACAGGAATACACATTTACGACATTTCAAGTGGTTTAAGACCATAAACTACAACTGCAACGTTAATTGGAGCAAATTACAAACAACGGACACGACACATAAGATGGTGAATCGTTGCTATATCATTATTAAGGAATTAATTTTAATTCTTTGGCCGGAATAACAAACCGCTTTACGTAAAACTTCCTCGATCACTGAACGAACAACAGGAAAAATATACAATAGAAATAACAATCACTATGCCCAATTGATTTCTTTTAAATATATGTTAGAGTTAATTAATATAAAAATCGAAAACAATTACCATAAAATACATTTACGACGCAATTGATACTGGATGAATATAACGTTCGTGCGTAATTTTCAGAATACAAAGATTTCATGATTGTCTACAAAAATGATAATTTAACTAATTACCGTGCGTTTTAATCTTTGAGAGTAATTGAAGTATTTAATGAAAATTGTTGCAGGAAGTTTTCCTTTCGTTCAATATACAGACATTATGAAGAACGTCTGACCATCATAAAGGTCGCCATAATACTGATGGACAGGAGAATGCGCAAATGCAAACGAAAGCTTCTATCTTTGCACTAAGTCGAAAAATAATGCATTCTTACATGATTCATTTATTCATGACGCATTATTTAAAATACTATAAAAATATAAATATGTAGTACAAGACTTGTTACGTAGAATATAATCGGATTAAAGTGCCGGTACGTTTGGAAAATTCAAATAACGCACCCTTTAAAGGACATGTTGAAACACGGTGAAATTATTGGTTGTTGCTGAACGAGCCAACTGAAGCCATCGAACCAGATTTATATGTTCTAAATTACCGACTGCAACAGGAATATGCAATCCCTCTATTGACAAACGTGCGAACTGTATATTTTCTCGAAACCATCCAGAGGGAAATGCCGGTTCCTAGAGTCCTAGGTTCAGTTTATGGTGAGATCCTGATCGGTGTGTACCGTATTGTATACATCAGTATGTACATCTGCTGTTCTTCTTCCTGAATGCATTCAATGAATTCTTACTCGTGTCGTTAACTGTTGTTCGCTATTTTTCTATGAAACAGTCGTAATGAATACAGTACCGCGTTAGTACTCGTAACAGGTTACGCTAGTCCACGAATGTGATCGATATTTTCGTAAAGAAAATGACGCGTACGAATGATATTCTACAAGAGAGTTGATGGTATGTTCTAAATACAATACTATACGTTCGAACAGGATGCTTATTATCATATTTACGCTATGAAATAGTTATATGTTTCCTCTGCAATGATTGTGTTATTACCTGAAATTAATAACGACGTAAGGAAACATAAAATTCTTGTTCATTTCACCGTGTACTGCTTTTTTTTTTAACACACACTCGATACTTGTTAACGGGATGGGTCAAGTAACTATGGCCCTTTAATAAAGCCGATCAACGTAAACGGCGTTTGAAAGATGTTGAGAAATACATCAGTGCTTTAACAGGCCGAGAGTGTTCAATGATTCGTAAAGGAACAAAAAGACTGGACTCACTCAGCGTAGCCTTAAACACCGGTGAAATTAAACCTGTGAATTTTACGCGTTTAGATTATGCAATTGCTGAAGTGACACGAAGGTTAACACACTTGGCTAACTCACGTGTACCAGTTGCAATTTTTGTCACGCTGAAGGGGTCGAGAATGTTAGAAAAAATTAGAACAACCCGATTACACCAGTTACATAATTATAGTCGGGAATTTTAGTTTCTGCATTTCGATAATTGTTTAGCTCCAGCGACTTATCATTTTTTTTTTCAACGATTATCCCTTCTTTTTTTTTTATATCGTCCGAACGATAAACCTGTTTTTGCCAATAATTTTAATTATCAGACTTGAATTGGGGGAGAATTGAGATTACATATTTATATACATTCGTATATTCGTATTCGCTTTCGTACAAAAAGTACGAAGGCTAGCCGCTACTTTTCCTCCACTAACATGAGATATGTGCCACGTTCTATCTGAGTATATAAGCAGCCAAATAGCTTTAGTTTCTTCCAGTTCTTCGCTGTACCGTGAAATGCGAATACAGTTCATTTAGACAGGTGTCTTTTGTGTTTTTATTTTATTTATGATTCATGATACCCCGGTCGAAGTAAACATACATACGTGCACGTGTGAAGTTGCGACGCTTCAGTGAAAGTTCCAACTTTCACAGGTAAAAATATTTCGCGCTTTTGATCAATTGAAAATATTATTTATTAGTTGATATGGCTGTTTAAAGTCAACACTGAATTTTTTAATTTAGTTTTTGTAAATTTAATTTAATTTATTCATTTTTTTTACTTAGTTCATAATGGCCCTCGATATGATAGATCGGAAATGGCATGCGAAGGGTGGCAAATTTAATAAGTTTGTCAGAAAACGGATACCGATCGTTGGATGGTTGCCATCGTATAATTCCGAAAAGTTTTTAAATGATGCTATCGCTGGTATCACGGTCGGACTTACTGTTATGCCGCAAGGACTTGCTTATGCAACATTAGCAGGCTTAGAACCACAGGTTGCACATTTTCTGCAAGACAGTTTACATATATAAATTCATTAATGTTAAATTATATTTTTTTACGCATTTGCGGATAACGTATAAAATTGCAGTATGGTCTTTATTCTGCATTCATGGGAGCAATGGTGTACATAATATTTGGTTCGTGTAAAGATATCACAATTGGACCAACTGCGCTTATGGCACTCATGACTCATGAGTATGTTCAAGGTAGAAATGCTGACTTTGCAATATTACTTGCATTTTTGTGTGGTTGTTTGCAATTACTGATGGCCTTTCTCCGTTTAGGTAACATATCACACTCAGTTATCAAAATATTATGTAGTGCTGCTTCTATAAGCACTACATAATATGTACACCTATACTTGATTCTATTTAATTGATCTACAAAATGTTGTAGGAGTACTTATAGATTTTATATCAATACCAGTCACAGTTGGTTTTACCTCTGCCACATCTGTTATAATTCTGGCTTCCCAGCTGAAAGGACTTTTGGGATTAAAGATCTCCTCTCAAGGATTCTTAGATACTTTAACAAAAGTGTTCAAAAATATCCATAAAACTAGTTTATGGGACAGTGGAATGAGTTTCTCTTGCATTGCTGTATTATTAATGTTTAGGGTAATGTGTGATAGAAAGCTGTATGATCAATTGAATTTAGCTGTAATCTACTTAATTATAGACTTTAATTGTATTGTTTCTCTTGTGTAGAAAATGAAAGATATCAAGTTTGGCTGCAATAATGAAAAATCAAATAAATATCATAGGATATTAACAAAGACAATATGGTTAATAGCCACAGCACGAAATGCTATCATTGTAATTGTTTGTTCTGCTATTGCATATAAGTTCAACTCCACTGAGTCTGGTTCTCCATTCATTCTCACTGGTCCAGTAAGATCAGGTCTTCCACATTTTGGTTTACCTCCTTTCTCCACTCAAGTTAAGAATGAAACATTAAGTTTCACTGAAATGTGTTCAGAATTGGGTGCATCTATAGCATTGCTACCTATAATTGGGGTTCTTGGCAATGTAGCAATTGCAAAAGCATTTGCTAATGGTGAGAAAGTAGATGCCACACAAGAACTAATTACTTTAGGAATTTGTAATGTTGTTGGCTCTTGTGCAAGTGCAATGCCAGTTACTGGCTCATTCAGTAGGTCTGCTGTGAATCATGCAAGTGGAGTAAAAACACCAATGGGTGGTTTGTACACAGGAATATTGATACTGTTAGCTTTGAGCTTGTTAACACCGTATTTCTACTTCATACCAAAGGGTAATATATTGACTAGTTCCTTTATTTATATTAATACAGTAGGATAACATATCTAACAGTATATTTTTAGCTTCTCTGTCAGCAGTCATTATTTGTGCTGTAATATATATGATTGAATATCAAGTTGTTAAACTCATATGGAAGACTAGCAAAAAGGATTTGATCCCAATGTTTGTAACGTTCTTGTTCTGTCTCATTATTGGAGTAGAATATGGAATATTGTTGGGTGTAGGAACAAATCTTATATTCTTATTGTATCCTTCTGCACGTCCTACAGTACATGTTGATAAGTGTACAGTATGTAGCAAATTATACGTAATTATATGTAATATTTTCTGTTTAAAACCAACAGGTATTTTGTATATTTTAGAGCACTTCAGGAGCTGAATATCTGTTAGTGACACCAGGAAACAGTCTTTATTTTCCTGCTGTTGATTTCATTAAAAAATCAGTTGGCAATGCTGGAATAAAGCAGGGTTCAAGTCAAATTCCAGTTGTTGTTGATTGCAGATACATTTTGGGAGCAGATTTTACAGCTGCTAAAGTAAGTATTCATGCATAATAGTATAGATATGTATTTGAATGAAGATGTAGTGATGTGATTGCATTGTTTGTTGCAGGGAATAGCAACATTAATAAATGAGTTTAACAATCGAAAGCAAGGGCTCTATTTTTATAATCCACGATCGGAAGTTATTGCAGTTTTAAAAGGTGCATGCGGAGAAGAGTTTCAACATATATCTACCCAAGAGGAATTATCGTATTTGTTATCCACACATCAAGGTAATCATATAAGTAATTCGATGCATGTATCTTATCGAACGCAACTTTTTCATTTTCAATTGTTTCGTTTCAAGAGAAAACATCGCAACAACTGTTGGAAATTGCACGCGATAAGTCACACGTGCCTTTAATGTTGAGCGGTCCTGAAGTCATTCATCGAAATGGGCGTTCATGCCATGAACTTAGTGAAGTTACAACCACATTGTTGCACGCTACAGCTAGTTAAGAGAAGGAATTGTAGTTTTATTCAATTGCAAAGATTTCGTTCAATGTTTCCTATAGACTGAAAGTTTTTACTTGTGCATTTCACAAAAGGCAGTACACCTTTACGAAATTTCATTAAATATTTTTCAGTATTAAGTATTTTAATATCTATTGCGAGAAAATGATAAATATTTATTAAGTTACTAGACAAGTCACGAATAATATAATACTATTAAGAAACGTGAAATACATGACAGATTTTATAATAGAAATAATAAATATAAATATCTTTCTGTACATAAATGATATCTTGTTTTGTATCTCTTATTTTTTATGTTTGTTGTGTCAACGAGAAATAAATACTGCTGTATAATTTTAATTTAATTGTGTATGTACATATTTTCACGTACCCATATTTCGGCAAAAAAATCCAGTTGGGTTCAAGGGCAACAATTTATTAAATCGTAGAACGTAATTACAGTTTCGTTTCGGAAGTGAATTAAAAGTGTAATAAGTTAGAAAAAGAGCTTCCATGTACAGTTACGATAAAGCCGTGCATGCTGAGACTTTTTAACGTTACAACGATGAGAATTTGCAGAATTATTTTCTAATCAAGTAATGTCTCCTCGCCTATCGTTTGTACACCTTCATTTAAACATTTATAAATTACAGTCTTCTGTAGCACGCGTAATAATTACAAGGATGTAATTACGTGTAATGAAAAATAATATTGCACAATCCATCTAAACCGCGTAACAGTCCATCACCGAATACCTATCTTCATAATGAAATCGGGTACATATTTATCGAAATAATCGAAAATATTATTTGCAATATGAATTAGATTTTAAATTTTGCTGATAATATCTATAAGTATTGCACTCTATTTTTACACGGAATACGATAAAATAATACGCAAGAATTATTTAAATAGCTGAACGAATGTCGTTCGTAAAACTGTTTTGTATTTAAAGTGTATACAAAAATATATCCCATTCTCTCGATATTTATTTTTCTTCGAAGTGAGAGCACTGGAAACTTACATAATTTACAAAACTAATTTCAATAAAGCCCCGACACAACGTCTGTGACCTTTCCGTGATTTCCAATCGCAGACGAGGTCGTGTTCCTCCTTCCGATCGGGCTGTCCTTGATCTGTTGATTTCCCGAATATTTTCCAGCATTGAAACGATGTTTTCCGAGACCGAACGTGTCGTAAGTTCGGCCAGCGAAAATTCCTGAATCTTTCGATCTATTCGAGAATTTACTGCCAATGTTTTCGTGTTGGCTGAACGAGTTGTGCCTCACTCCGTTTTTCATAAGTATCACGGGAGTACAATCGAAGTCGAACTCTCCATTCTTTCTAGCCGAATTCAATTCATTTTGACAGTTCCATTCACGATTCCTCTGCTCGTCGTACAATTCGTCGCTTCTTAGCTGCTTATTGTTCACATTAATAGCATAAAATTCATCGTTTTTCAAGTGTTTATTCCTCGACTCTTCTTTTCTACCATTCGTTTCCAGCTCATAACAGCTGTTCGAGTCCTCTACTCTACTGGACTTCGATCTAACCAGCTGCCTGTCTTCCCGAGATTTGTTTGTTTTCGTTTGGTACTTGCTCGAACTCCATTGACTCTTCTCTTCTGTAATAACGATGTCGACCATCGAGTCCAGACCCTCGTCGATTCTATCCAAGGACTTGGTTAACAAACTCGGTGACTTTGGAGCTTCGATGGATCTGGGTCTTCGAGTTACAAACGGCTCCAAGTTGAAATCCGTGACATAGAATAATCCGCTGTCGCTTCCTCCTCGCGAGGAACACTGTTCTTTTTTGGCAACGTGGGATATATGATGGAAGGACTCGGATCTACGCATTCTGGTTCTGGAATTCTCATCGAAGAATTGATGTTCCTGTTTGCTGAGATTCTCGGAGCTGCCCGGTCTACCGTAACTCTGCAGACTGCGATGCTCGTCGAACGAGTTCAGGCTCTCGAACTTCCTGATGTGACTCTCCACCCTGCTTCGCCCGGATCTTCTTGACCGTGGACTCGAGGCGCTAGACTCGAGGTAATCGTGGCTCGTGGACCTACGAAGAAGCTTACGTTTCTCTACTTCACTTCTGTACTTCGAGTTGTGCCTCTGAACGAATCCATCCGTTTGACGGTTGCACGATTTCGACTCGTTCGCCGTCACGCCCTTGAGTCTACACGAACTCTCGTAATTTCTAGCCGTCTTCTTGTCCTTTACCTCGCTTTCACTGAAGTGTCGAAGATCGTCGAAGCTTTTCTTAAATTTACCGTCGTTCTCGTTATCCGCTTCATTTCTCGATTGCTGCTGAAAGTGGTCAGCATCGGCGTTTCCGATCTGTTCCTCGTAGGTTGGATTCTTCCCGTTGTACTTGAGTCGAGATGCGCTCAGAAGAGAATCACTACCATCCCCCAAAGTCTCCTCCTCGATCTCTTCATCATGAGAATTGTACGTCTCTTCGTGATCTGGAAAGTCGCAATGCCTCACCGCCATGATCGCGGACAAACATGGCGGCGATCTTCTCGGCGGTTGAGGGTACAGAATAGTCGGGACAATCGCGTCTTCGACGTCTGGCCCTTTTATAACGATCTTTACGCTGCCTTCCACCGAAGATTTCGAGATTCTTCGCGTGTCCGTGTTCAGACGACGCCTGGCGCTACTGGAATCCGTACTGTAATCTCGATCGTTACCAAAGTAGGTCACCTGTTCACCTTTTATTACACTCTGAGAGACATTCGAGCCCGCGTTGGACTGTGGAATCTTTGCGTCCGATTGCTGATCCCTCTTCAGTACCCTGTCGAATAAGTAAGAATCGGAATTTTTGTATACCTTGATCTTCGGCGAATCCTGATCCGTGACCCGATCCACTCGCTTCTCCTCGTGACTTTTATCAACGAATTCCTCCTCCGCGTCCTTTACAATAATTCTCAGCTCCTCGATCACATCCTCTATGGTGGTCTCTTGATCATTGTCCGGTGACGAGCTGTGCTTTTGATGATTACCACGCAATTGGTGTTTCGTGTTCTCTGGACTGCTGGATCTTTCAGACGAACTGATACCCTCGTCCTCCGCGTTCGAGGACACTTTCGGGGATTGTTTCGCCCCGAGAACCGTCACCTTCTCCCGATCATCACGATTGTAAGTGTTCAGCTTCTCCACCTGCAGCTGCTGCAGTTCGGCCTGCAGAGCCGATACCTTTTTGCTGAGAATTCTACAGGTTTCCTCGGCACGCACGACTCTTCTCTGCAGGACGTCTACGTCGACGCAGTTGTGGGTCCATTTCTGGACCTCCTTGTGCAGAAGATCGTTCAGAGCGTCCTCCTCTCTGCCGTCCAATTCTTTCAGCCATTCTTGAAGGACCTGCGGCTCTAGTCCAGCTTCGCAGGCTTCGGCCTGGTTGCAAACAAACGCAATTATTGTTCACCAAACTGTTTCATATATTGGGGGGAATGTAAGAGGATTCTGGAAATACACTCACCTGAATGTATAACCTGGTTTGCGTACGAGGAGCAGATTTCAGGAACGCGTTCAGAAAAGAAACTCCCGCGACTCTCAGCGCGATCGCTGCTCGTGGAGCTAGAAGAGCTCCGGCGAGGAACCTGAATCTTCCGCCTTCGCCGTACTTCAGCCTTAACGTGGAGACCGCTTCTGACACTGCTTCGTGGCCACCTGGTGTCTGGCAGACCTTGGTCAGTAGCTGGAACAGTAATAATGCATTCTATCAGGAAGGGTCTTCGTGGTCTGTTGTAACTAGCGCGGCTTAAAGCCCCGCCGCCGACAGTAGGTACCCTACAACCATGCGGTGCGATGATAACCATCGCTTTATTCTCATTATAGCCAACACCGTAGTTTTCTGTGATCGCGTGCCGTGAAAGTAATTATCCAGTTCGGTTGGTCAACGTGTGCCCGTTCGTAACCGGCACATGCCTGGCAAAGTGCACTTCCTCAATGGCAGGAAATCGAAAAGAAGAACTAAAGGACGAAGGAGCGCACGACGCGCGTGTGTTTGCAAATGAGCCTGGCCGAATAACGTAACGGATAGACGATAAAAAAGAACTGGTTCCCGACAGATGAACACTCACGAAATAACGGGGCCCGGTCGGTCGAGTGAACCGAGTTTACTGGAAACACGAGGTTTACGATCATCTCAATTGGTCAGACACACGAGGTTCCTCCACGAGCGAGAAACACGAAGTCCTGTGTGACCCAGTATCCCCGTCCACTTCGTGAAAATTCATTCTGAACGTACATTTAATTACATATCCTATTTATAGTTCGAAAATACGTATCGGTCTTATTGGAAACCTCACTCCGCGATTAAAAACAGTACCTTCAAGTGGGAATCTGATCCATACATCGTGTATATGTATGTATACAATTGTTTGATATTACATCAGACGATAAGGAAGCGATAACCGTTGCGTTTAGCTTTACAGATATAATCGCGTTTACGGTGTCGATATAAAATACGCGCAACGCTCTATCAGCCAACGATCTATTAATAGTAATGTAAACGATAAACGTACGATAAGACGACATCGAAATAGACGTCGATGCGGTTTTCTCCTGGATGTGGCAGTCGACTAGCATAATCCTTGCCCCCCATTACCTCCTCGTATGATTACTCTAGATTAGTCCAGATGATTTCGTTCCTTTTTTATTAACAGAACCTACCTATCTACCTACACCGTGGCACTCTCGTTGCAAACGGAAGTGACGATTGTTACCTGAAGAGCCAGAACACGGGACCGGTTCAAGCTACTGGTCAGACAGACCGCTAGAGCAAGAAGACCGGGTTGAGCTTGCACCAATAGCCTCGGCGCGTCGGTGCATCGTTCGGCGCACGCGGCCAGGCACTCGACGCAGCCCAGCTCGTCCAGCGCCGCTCTTCTGGTCCCGACTCGTGGACCCGTGTGACCGGAAGAGGGTGGTGAACTTTGAGCCAGTTGTACGCCCCGCAGAGTCTCCAGCAACAGGGTGATCCCGTCAGCGGGGGGCGATGAGAATTCCTGAACGAAGCTGGAAAATAATCTTAACGTTACCGACTTGCGAATGAATCTTGCCTCTCGCTGATGTAATTCATGCAGCAGGAAGTTACCGAGTTGTTGGATAAGTCTTGACCCTTTCATTCCTAAATTCTCTAATAATTGTAACAAAATATTGGGAGGGTTAATTTTGTGTTATTGCAAGGTGTTGGAATAAACTTTATAATTCACATCCAGAAAAGGATTAAGACTCATCCGACAACTCAATATTTATGCACTAGGTATTGCAAATGGTATTTTGGGTTTAACCTAGAAAACAAAATTTTGTTGGTCAAAGTAATTACCACTGTAAACGGTTAAAGCATACTTTCCTAAAATATTCTTTGGCTCACCGCTCCCTTTCCAAAGTTTTTCTTTTGTTTAACGCCCCCTTTGGGTAAACTATCTCTATTATCAAAATGTTCAAGTGTAGTTGTGCGTGTAATCTACGAATCTTAGAAAATTAGATTGAAAATAGAGAAAATAGAATAATTAGAACGCCCCTTTCGATCTTCTTAGCGCCCACCGGTGGGAACCTATCTGCTAAAGAGATATCACCTGTACGTTTATTCCTTTTCATTCAAGGTTCGATGTTCCGTGGCTTTTTGTAAAGAATACTGTTGGGTGGTTCCCCGAAACGGATCAAAGGAAAAAGTTCAACGGCTCTTTTTGCGGAGGTGAGGAGATGCGAAGTGTCGAGTGAAACGGATTCCCATGAAGGTATCCAGGACGAAAAAAAGGGGGTTTCCGTTAATTGATTTCCAGGATACGAGCGTTGAAATCGAGACGAGCAAAAATTTCTGTATCAGTTTTGTAAAGTAGCACGTGATTGACTTAATTCCCTAATTGTAGAGAGAGAGAGAGAGAGAGAGAGAGAGAGAGAAAGAAAGAAATAAGCAGGGACAGAGAGAGAGAGAGAGAGAGAGAGAGAGAGAGGTGGACCGGAAGCATCCGTAACGGTTACGAACGGGGCGGCCGTGGCGGCACACGGCCGTGCTCCAAGTGCAGCAGCCATTGAACCGCTGACAGAATGGAAAAAACTGTAATTACATAATTATGGGACCTCGCGATAAGCAGCAAAAAAAACGGCCAATCCGGTTTCGTACGATGGTACACCGGTAAGCGAGTTCCTTTGAGGTTGTCAACGGTGTGATTATAAGAATGACGGTACAAGAACCCCGGTAACTATTAATGAAGTTAATACACGAAGACGAGGGAAAGACGAGAGAGAATATACTTCAATTAAATTACACGCTTCCACACAAGTCACCCGAGACATCATTATTAAGCGTGAATCCGGGCGAACGCGAGAAAGATCGTATACTTGAATAATAAGAATACAATTCGTTCGATCGATAGATACAATATCGTTTGACCAATTTGATCTGACAAGAAATTCCATCGTTCGATGATCGATTTTCTTGGGAGCTTCGAATATCGTTGTGGCATCGTTATTGGTATTTTATGCGCGATTGTCAGGCGTCTAGAATCCACATTACGATATCACTTTACCAGATATCGTATTCGTTGATCGTTCCGGCAAGAAAACGATCAACCCGATGCGTTTCCTCTTCGTAACCGTCGTCCTGTAACGGGCGTGTTACGGTATGTGTGTGACGGCCTTAAGGTAGACAGGTGAACGGACGAGGGAATAGATATTATGACTGTCAAAGAGCGATTCATTCGCGCGGCGAAGTTTGTTTCAATAGCTGCCGGGTTTTCTTCTGCTCGCGGCTCGAACGCTGGTCACTCGTAATGGACGAGCACTATCTTCGATCGTGTCACGTTAGTTTCCTTAATTATACAGGTGAAACACGTGTAGCATTGGTGCACACCAGAGCCAGTCCATCAGCTTCGTACCGGCGTGCTGCAATCCTTCTCTATCTCTTTCTCTTTCTCTGTGTACCGAGCCGTGAGAATCTTCTTGCGGACGAGGCCTTTTGTCACTTTCTAGAACCCTCTTTTCTCGTTACGTAATCTCTGCTTCTGGATACTCGGGGACACTTCGCGAGCAAATGTACCTTCGTATCGTAAAATATTATTTTACTCGAATGTTATCTAATCTTTCGTTGACTAGATTTCGTATTATCAGCCGACAATAGATTATCTCAGGCTTCTCGAAACGGTTTGTCGTAATTTTTACGTTGCGCTTAAATTATTCCGCATCCGTGGTTATCCGTTCGTGTGATACAGCATCCGAAAAAAAACACAGAAAAATACACGGGAAACGGGGAAACGATACATTAGGGTACCACTGGCCAGTGTTTTTTTCGGATGAATAATTACGAAGATACGTTGCTCAATACCGTTCTAAGCTAGCAAATATATTTATCATTTAGTTAAGATAAGTAGCCCCGAATTTCTTTCTATCTTCCGTGCATAATTACTAGATTGCGAATGTTTATGCATCTATAACAAACTTTAATATGCAAAATGTAGTGAAATGAAGAGTTCAATAAAAATTAATAATATTTATTATCAACATATTATCATCAACATAATAAGACTATATCTAGTGCAGGATTGAAATTTCTATCTCATTTTTATGTTTATAAATTAATGCTTAATCCCGAAAGCATACCCATTAGCCGTTAGCCTCTTACTCATCAATACCTAGTAATATCTAAGAATTCCTATTGGAACTTTTCTTGCACCCACTACCTCTTAAATCAGATCTTTGAATATCATTTACAGTTCAGTAGAATAAAATTATTATTATTAATACTAAATATCGGAATCTAACAACGTCTCTGGCGATTCGTAGAAATTCTTCGAGTCGTGCCCCATAGATTTCGTGTCACGAATGCTGGATAGTCCACGATCGAAATTTTTCTTCGGCGCTCGGACAAAGAACCATAAATCATCTGAAATCGTAGTTCGAAAGAAACAAGAAAAGAAAACGAGGAAATGATAGAAAAGGGAATGGTATTCAGAAGAGACGTTCGTCTAGACGGCAACTCTATAAACACCGTGTATAAGCGCCGTACGTGAGTTGAATGCATGCAAATGAGTATTAAAACGTTTTCTATGTACCATCGGCTATATACTTCTCGTCTCGTCGCCTATTTACCCCGAGGGTAAACAGCAGAGAAAGAGAGAGGGAGAGAGATAGAGTTCCCTTCTAACAATAGATGCATTATGTTACCAGGCGTATTATGCATACCGTGTGAGGTATCGTGATGCCAGCGCGTGTATATGTATAACCATGTGCGAAATACACCGCGGTATTGCGATTCACGCCGTGAACAACCGTGGATCGCCTTTGTTGGACGCGCCTTTAAAAAATATGCGTGCTGCCCCTCACCCCGAGAAAATGAAAGCTCGTGCGTGGACGAGCCGAGACTGACGACTTGGCGAATGTGCGAAGAGTAAGACGATAGTGTGAACTGATAGGGTCATGATGGATGTTTCGAGATTTTCGAGTATATCGTTTGCAACAAAATTGAACGAAATGTTAGAAATAGGTACTAACTACATACAGTTCTTTCCTGAGCTCGACAATTTCCAGATGGCCCCCTCTGGAACCTGTCTGTCCTTTCCACGAAGGAAGCTTCCCTTACGAAGGTCTATCATCCTGCTACGTAATAAATAATCATAAAAGAATGATCCATCCGTATTTCACAGAAATGTATTGGAAATGGATTCACACGAGGCTGTCTGTCCTATTTAACACTTCGATTAGGATGTCACTCAATTATGGGTGACACGTGAATTGCAAAGAGGCTTGTTTATTTAAATATCGTTAAAAAATTTTGCGTAACATTAATATCGTAGTACCATATAAAACAAGACCAACAGCCTCTATTAACTAAACGCATATATTTTCAACGAATAATAACTTTTAAATATCATAAATTGTAACAGAAACAAACGAAGTAAAATGTGTCTGGCTACGTAAGTCCTTTTTCACTGCGGCAGCCAACCTGTTAAATTAAAGTTAAAGGGTATGTGTAGATTTTCTTTCCGATTTTTTGGTCGAAGAATCCTAATTGCGAAAAAAAATGGTAAACGTTAAAGCCTCGAGGAGTCTTCTGCATCCCTTCTGGGATATTTCATATGGTTGCGTGTAACGTGCCCGTAGACCGAATGAAAAATCGGCCGTGTATCGTGTGCACCGCGTACTGGAAGAGGACAAAGAGGAATTCGTTCCAAGGCGAACGGCTCCGCTATCGAAAACACGCTTTCCTGGAGACGTCATGCGAGGCTTCGTCCGGGGCAATGGGTGCATTATATTACACCCTGCATTATGCAGACTACGATGGTGTGTATACGTAAGAATGCCTTTGGCGTACGGAGCATGAATATCAATCGGGTTCGTTATTGCCCAGGGTCTCTGTGTACGTGTGTGTATGTATGGGGGCACACCCTAAAATTCATGACTATGGACAAAGACGATGACGACGACGACGACGACGACGACGACGACGACGACGACACTGAACAGAAGAAAACGAAAGGACGTAACGATGGTCGGATGTTTTCTCTTTCACGCGATACTTTCGGGCCTACGCCATAAATGGATTGCATAATTTAAAGCTTAAAGCGTATCTTTGGCGTACTTAAGCCCGCATCTTTTCACCGTGCATCGCTTAGCTTTATCATTCCTCTCGATTGCATTATTGCGCAATAAGTTAAATCTGTTAAACCATGAATCGACGTGAATCATTTTCTGACAGAGATCAATAAGAAAATGAATTCGCGGGTCACATTTGGGTCACATAGGTGTCGTTCGAAGAGGAAACAGATTGTAAATCGAGGGATTTAACGCTGCCTCTCTGTCGACCATCTATCTTTCGCGAGGACGATCGAGAATCGCGAGCGTATCCGAGTGATCGCGATGCATCGGCTCCGTAGCGCGTAGGTATATAAAACCCAGAAGAAACGAGATCTGATATCGCTGGAGAGAAAAAGAATGAGACTTCCTTGAGTTTCCATTAAAGTAGGAAGCAGTTACGCATTCGTTGTTACGCGAAGCGGAAGCATCGTGGGGTATCG